CCCCCCCCCATTCTGTTAGACCCTGAAAATTACTGGATTCCATTGGTGCAGTGATGAGTGAAACTTCAACCTGCCCTTACCCAAGCCCAGAACTGTTTAATTAAGAACGCTAGCAGTGTCCCCAGACTTTCCATTCAGCTTTTACACCCAGGCAGAGGCACAACAAAGGCCAGGCAGAGTTTCTTTCTTCCCTGACTTTGGAATTNCAACAAAGGCCGGGCAGAGTTTCTTTCTTCCCTGACTTTGGAATTCCTGAAGCTTTTACCACTTGCCTGTAAATCAGGAAAGCCTCCTGGCCGTTCCTTTGAGAAATGCCAGTTCATTGCCAGTTCACACTTGGCCTGAGGCTAAATTCAGTGAAGGGCCTCTCACCCAGTAAATGTCGGGGCTCTTTTGCAGTGTTGTTGCAGTTAGCTGCTGCCTTCAGAACTGGTGGGGGAAGCAGATGGGCAGAGCCCGGCCCTACCCTCGGTGCGTGTAGTGTCTTTTAGGTGCAGCCAGCATCCCGGTGTGTGCTGAGGCCCTTTGGCTCCTGGCACAGTTGGGGTGGTCCCGTCTGACCTAAAGGAAAGCTGAGGTGACAGTAACAACGAAACAGAAAAGCCCTGCATGTTCTCTAAGTTCTGCTATGTTAAGAAGCACATGTGTCACTTTATGAAATTTCTCAGCACCGTTATCACAGGGCTGGGGACAGATGGAACCGTGAACACAGCCCTCATTTGAATTAGATATCCTTGCCTGTGTCTTGGGACAGTCACGTGGGGGGATGGCTTTGTCATGAAAAGCAGGAGATGTGGCAGCTAAATGGTCCTATTGAGCCCGTTCTCTTCAGATAGGAAACCTTCTTTTGACACAGAATTTTGAGAAATATCCTGCATGTATACAGATGAGTGGAATTATAAGTCACTTNACTTTCTCTTGAGATAGGAAACCTTCTTTTCAAACTGAGAATTTTGAGAAATATCCTGCACGTATACAGATGAGTGGAATTATAAGTCACTTGATTCAGATTTCTAGTCTCATCACGACCAGACTAGACTTATGACTGGGAGCGGAAANAACCAGACCAGACTTTTGCCTGAGAATGGAAAGTAAAAGGCACTTTTGGGGCTTCCCACATGAACTACTTGTGTCTCTACTGTTAGCATTTCTCGTAGGCTGCTCTGGGCACCATGTAGTGCCACAGACTGCTGATGCCAGTTCTTCCAGGTGACTTGTGTCCCTGGGATATAAAATCACAGGCAGGACCTGCCCGAGACCCATGCTGGTGACAGAGGAGAGGACTCATGTGAAGTGGAACATTAATGATTTTTACTGATGTAAATCAGAAAATGTTCCTTTTTCCCCCTTTTCTTTCTTGATCATACATTTGGTGTGCTCAGTTTTTAATCCTCTTAATCCTGAAGTATTTTGGGGGGTAGGTTAATGATTTTTACACGGTGTAACTTTTGGGGTCTGCACTGGTGGTGGTTTGTGGGTGCTGTTAACAGTGGGAATGGCAGTGACTTTGATTAAGGGCCTGAGGAGGGTGAGGGCCTTGTTGTGGGGAGGGAGTGATGGGACTCGTCTAAGTCCAGGGCTCAGCAGTGGCAGAATTAGGTTTACTGGAGCCACACTCGTTACAGCCTCACACCCACCTAGACTTGGAGAGGACTATCCGCCACCGGGCAGGGGGGTGCGGCAAAGCTGGGAGATGCCATTTCCATTCTCCTGTTTCTTCCCCCAGTGATCCCAGGCCTGGAAAGAGGCCCATCCACCAGAACGTCAACAACAATGCGAACCTTCGGATTGAGAACTTGAGCATCCTGGTCAGAAATATCAAGACCTTCTACAAGGTGAGGGCAGCTCTCAGTTCCCCAGGAGTTCTGTGCCCCTGGCAGTGCTGTCACTCACATGATTTCCCCACAGGAAGCCGGGAGGACATTGTGTTCAAGGGCAGACACCTNAGGAGTTCTGTGCCCCTGGCAGTGTTGTCACTCACATGATTTCCCCACAGAAAGCCAGGAGGACATGGTGTTCATGGCCAGACACCTACTTGTTGACACTTCAGGTGTTTTTTTCACTTGCATCTTTTTTTTCTTCCCATTGTGAGAAGGGTCAGGTGTTGGATTGCTTTACTTTGTCCAGTGAATTCTCATTGAGCAATGTGCAGAGCATTGGTGTCTGATGCTGACAAAGCCCCAGAGATGAGCCCCAGGCCTCCACTGTGACCCCAAGCACCAGTTGCATGGGGAGTGGCTGGGATGGGCTCCCGGATGGGCACCCTGACATGGTTCTTGTCCACTGCTCAGCAAGTCTTTGTACAGCAGCAATTCAAGGGGTTGAAGGAGATATGGGAGCACAGAAGGGTTATGTTGGGTTTGGGACTGTAATTGATGAGCCCTGAGCTTGCACACAGGAGCTCTGGAGTTCACTGTGTGGAGTGTCCACTTGTCCAGTGCTTACCATACCTCATTAGCAGATAGTCAGTGGGTAGGAGGGCCTGATGGAGAAGGGGCTTGGGAAGGTTGGGTGAAATCTTTGATGTTTATGGTCTTTATATGGCCAACTGAAGCAATATCGACCTAAACTGCCCCACAGGGCCCTGGTTTTCTTGGCACTGAAATCTTTTCACCCATATGAGTTTTTTAAGATCTTAGGTGAAGCCCAGTGACTCTGATTGATGTGGAGGTTGGGAGACCCTAGTTCCCTCCTGCTCAGCCCCCTCCTCTCTCTTCAGGGCATCTCTGTGGGTTCCTGGGACCCCAGGAAACATGGTTCAAGAACCACTGAGTGCTCAATAACATGTCCCAGGTTCACCCTGGGGTTCCACTGAGATCTTGGGCCAGACTGTGCCTGGGACCTGTTCTTAGCGCTCAGCTGTGTTCATTCCATGGCCTGTTGGCAGCACAGCATCGTGATTCCCTGGGCAACCTCTAGGAGGCTTACAACTGGCCTCATCCTTTTAGTTAGAAATGCCAGCTGCACTGAGGAGGCACTGGGGGTCGAGGTGGGTCCTGGGAGAGCTGGGACTGTGGGGCTGAAGTGGCTTCATTTCTTTGGCCAAGGGGAGCCACACTCAGGGCCGGGCATGTTATAGGCTGCTGGGTTTCAGCTAGTGCCGCCCTTGTGCTGGCCACGGGCAGGGGCAGCTGGGTGAAGGGGGTGGTGTTGCCACTGAACTTGGGCCTGGGCATGGAAGGCGCCTGATTCCTGGCTACAGGCACCATTCANCCCATATGAAGTTTTTTAAGATCTGAGGTGAAGTTCAATGATTTTGATTGATGTGGGGGTTGCGGGACCCTAGTGCCTTCTGCTCAGCCCTGTCCTCTCCCTCCAGGGCATCTCTGTGGGTTCCTGGGACCCCAGGAAACATGGTTCAAGAACCACTGAGTGCTCAATAACATGTCCCAGGTTCACCCTGGGGTTCCACTGAGATCTTGGGCCAGACTGTGCCTGGGACCTGTTCTTAGCGCTCAGCTGTGTTCATTCCATGGCCTGTTGGCAGCACAGCATCGTGATTCCCTGGGCAACCTCTAGGAGGCTTACAACTGGCCTCATCCTTTTAGTTAGAAATGCCAGCTGCACTGAGGAGGCACTGGGGGTCGAGGTGGGTCCTGGGAGAGCTGGGACTGTGGGGCTGAAGTGGCTTCATTTCTTTGGCCAAGGGGAGCCACACTCAGGGCCGGGCATGCTATAGGCTGCTGGGTTTCAGCTAGTGCCGCCCTTGTGCTGGCCACGGGCAGGGGCAGCTGGGTGAAGGGGGTGGTGTTGCCACTGAACTTGGGTCTGGGCATGGAAGGGGCCTGATTCCTGGCTGCAGGCACCATTCATGGTGAGTGAGTGCTTTTGATGCTGTGTGCAAAGGGCCAGGAGATGCAAACTGTGCTGACAGGGCCAGAGACAAGACTCCTAACTCTGCCTGCACAGGGGGCAGTCGGGGAAGGCTTCTTGGAGGAAATGACACCTGAGTGGAGTTATGGTGGGCAACTGAGTTTGCAGGTTTGGAGGCTTATGGGAAGGAGATGAGGGGAAAGGGTGTTGAGGTGGAGGCAGTCCTGTAGGCACAGACAGTTTTGCCCCCCGTCTGCCAGTCAGCATTTGCCACAGTGGCTTGGATGAGGGCTGTTTACCAAGTTTCAGATGAATCAAAGCCAGGGAGATGTCAACGTGGGACTCCCGACAGGTAGGCTTCTGCCTCAGGTGTAGCTGGGAGGTAATAACCTCTCCCTTAGGGCAGCAGTGAAGGCCTCAGACGGAGTGAGGTTTCTGAGGCTCCCATGAGCATCACAGAGCAGCCAGGCTCTGGTGCAGGCTGTCTGGCCATGCACATGCCGTCCTCTGGTCTCACTGGTCACATAAGGTGCATGCCCGATGGTGATCAGCAGTGCTGATGGTCAGGTCTGGGCTGGCCAAGGCGGCCTCACACAGCTGGGACCGTGTCAAATTGCAGGTTGCTTGGGGAACTGTATAGAGCTCCAGAGCACGGGGACTGTCACAGGAGAGAAAAGACGGACAGTGCACCCTCATGGCCCAGAAAGAAGTGCAGGTAAAAGGAAGGACCCTGCCTCCTCGCTCGGACTCTGCACTGTTAGCTCTTTGAGGGCAGGGCTGGTGTGTGTGGCTGCCTGGCAGCAGCAGCCCCGCAGCCCAGAGTCAGTGTTTGCGAAGCACTTGCTAAAGGCCGCAGGGCGCCCCTGCCCCTTGGTCCTGCTCCCATGGGAAAGCCGCAGGACACTTGCCTCTTGGGCTGACACAGGTAGATGTGGGCAGGGTTGTGCTTTGTGTTTTATCCTTCCAATTTATTTTAAAATGGTAAAGTTCTGGTCATATAAGTAATATGTGCTTTTTATAAACAGCTTGGAAAACAAATAACAAGAAAAAAGAACCACCCACATCCCACCACGGAAAGACAACCGGGATGGGCGATTTTAGGGTTTCCTCCCAGTGCTTGCATGAATGGCTTGTTTCACGACATCCTGTGGGTGTCGTGCCTTATGTACAATTGCGTATCCTGACTTCTTTCCCTCCCACCTGCCCTTAGAGCATAAACATAATTGGTGATTATTATAAAGTGACATTCAAGAAAGTTTTCCCAAAGAAACCTTGCCCAGCACCCCCTTGTTGTGAGGCTTTGGATGAAGTGAGACAGATGTCATTCCTACTCTGACCAGAGAGGGCCAGAGGTCACCCCCAAGTAGACTGGGACTCGCTCTTGTCCATGGCTTTTCATTCGGACATGTCAAGGTCATAGAACCCAGCCCTGGGTCTTGTTTGCCGAGTGGCAGTTCTGCCACCCTGGCTGTCCTTTCCCGAGGCATCATGGGGCAGGGACAGTTGGGAAGGCCAGGGCCTCTCTTGAGCAGCGTGGGCTTGTTCCACAAGCAGCTCAGGTTTTGCCTCTGAAAACCTGAGGGGACTCTGTCCTTGACCTTTTTCAGAGGACAGAGGTGGGTAGGAGCAGATGGCCAGGTTCAGTGTGACAGCTGTGTCTCAGCCAGGGTCTCAGGCCTCCTCCCCACCTGCTGCTTGGACTCTTCTGAGTTGGGGCCAGGGATCTGTATTTTCAGAAGTTCCCCAGCTGTTTGAGTTTTGCCATCCTTCCTACCACACTGGGAATCAGTGGGCTAGGGTGGTGGTTCTCGAAGGGGGGTTCCCAGGCCAGCAGTAGCAGCATCACCTGGGAACTTGTTAGAAACACATCTGACAGTCTGCGTTTCTAACAAGCCCCTCCCAAGGCCTGCTGGGAGGTCCCGCCATCTGTCTTAACAAGCCCTGCAAGGGATGACGCTGCCCCACCACATGGAGCCACGGGTTATAGACGACCCCTGGTGGTGCCTGGAAGAGACACTCAGCCAAATCTCCTGGGGCACAGAGAGCTCAGTCCCCACCAGGTGACTCCTCTCCACCACATACAGGGGACACAGGTCTCGTCTGCCCTGGAACAGGAAGGCTCGTCCTGGCAGCCCTCTGAGGATGAGCCACAGTGATGAGGTGGCCAGAGGGGTCACTGAGGGAGCTGGCAGGAAGGGGCAGAGGAAGCCAGAGTTGGGCAGACCTTGGGGAGAAGGACCCCTTCATTCAGTCCATGCATTTTACAAAAGAAGGCCTGGGGGTCGGGGTCACCAGCAACAGGACAGGCACCCCCAAATGGTGAGAGGCCTGGAGGAAAGATGAGCCTGGAGCTGCCTGCTGGTCAGCTTTGCTCTCAGTGCCACACAGCGCTTGTTTGACTCGCTCAACAGCCAAGCACTTTTTCATCTGAGTCTCCTTTTTAGATTAAATTTTGAAGTTCTACAGTGGCTCATTTTTTACATCAGAGTCTAGAGTCTTTACAAGAAACACAGGTTCTTTTGATAGCAGAGCCAGTGGGAAAATAAGGCAGCATAGCAGAAATCCTACTGCAGGAAACAGCGGGCACATGTATTCTCTGGGGGTTGTGCATTGTGCCCATGGCCCCTACCTGCCTGGCACCTGCAGGCTGGCCCTTTCTCTTAACAGTTTCGGCCTGATTGTCAAGGGAAGTTGTTGGGTTTCTCCGGCTTCATGGTGGTGGGAGACACTTCAGGCAGAGGCCTGGGTAACCCCGTGTTTGTTGATGGAGATGTCCATCTTTATTTCAAGTCCACATAGGGATTCGACACTGAACTCAGGACCCTTAGAAGGAGATAGGGACCTACCTGCAGGACTGACTCTGAAATGGGGAATTTGCCGAGTTTCTTCGAGCTCTTCCTCTCACGGATCGTGCCCAGGGACAGGTGCATTCCTCCTCTGGGCCTCTGAGTTCTCATCTGTCACAAAGAGGATGGCCCTGGGGCCCGATGTCCCCCAGTCCCACGATGGCCAGAGAAGACCAGGATTTAGGGCTATGATCACCTGGAGGAAGTTTTGCTCTATGAGTTCCTTGAACTTGTCTCTTCTGGCTTCTGGTCTCTCATGGTGGTAAGAAGGTTCAGCACATCCAAAATATTGTTCTTCATTTCAGAAAAAACAGCAGGAGAAATAGTCTGGGGTTGTTTTATCTTCTGTAATCTCTTTTTCCCTTCGTTGCTTTGAAAAAATAAAAATAAAACAGCCCCAGTGTTTATAATGAACACCCGTGTATCTGTTTTTCAAAGGAATATGAACATATGTGAATATTTTTCCTCAAGGACTGATGGCCACCAGGTCCCCTCGACACAGGTATGGGGCCACATGACAGCCACTAGCCACGTGTGGTCGTCCAGATCCTCTGATGCCGCCAGTGTGACTGAGGAATTTTTAATTTACATTTAAAAAGTGATGCTCGATTCAGTTAATGGAAAACTTTTCTGTGTGTCTGGAAGAACTTGGGTATGCGAAGCTACTTTTTCAGATCAAGTGTCTCCAGGGAAAAGTAGCATCCACGTCGAGATGAGCTGCGAGTATAAACTGCGCCCTGGATTCCAAAGACTCGGGGTGAAGAAAGAGTGTGAGGCATTCACGGCTTCCTGTCGATTAGGTGGTGACATGATAATACTTTGGGTATGCTGGCTTCATTAAAGAATATTAGAATATTTTCACCTGTTTCATTTTACTTTTTTTTTTTAATATATCTTTGTTGATTTCAGAGACAAGAAAGGAGAGGGAGAGAGAGATAGAAACATCAATGATGAGAGTCATTGATCGAGCCCACAACCCGGGCATGTGCCCTGACCGGGAATCGAACCCCGATCGCCTGGATCCCAGGTCGACGCTCAAGAGCTGAGCCACGCCTGGCTGGGCTCATTTTGCTTTCTGAGGGTAGCTGCTGGAGCATTAGAAATTAATGTGTGTCGTCTCCCACTATATGTCTATTGCCCTCGACACTCACACCGCTGAGCCTGCTTTGGCTGGAGATGTGCTTGGTGGCCCTTTAGGGGGACACTTAATCGCTCTGGAGTGATTCTGGCCACAGGACTGGGTCTTAGGAGACCCATGGGGTTTTGAAAGGAGCAAATAAAACAAAAGCATCATCTGTTCATAAAACAAGCTTTTTTAACAATTTACTTTCAGTTTTACCTTGTGCATTGTAAACATACTCCTTAATCGCACAAGTGGCACGTATTTCTTGGGGAAAACTAGCAGGTACTGGTTAGAGGAAGTTAAACATACATGGGTTTTCCAGCAGTGTTTCCAGCCGCCTTTTGCGTAGATAATCGTTCGCATGAAGGTGCCCCTGCGCCCGACTGCAGAGACCGTCAGGGGCTCGCCCACGCTGTGCCTCCCTTAGAAACCCGCGTGCTTCCTCGAGGACTTGAGCAGGGGGCTGCTCCACACGCGTGGACAACGGCAGAGGGAAAGCAGCCGAGACCAGACGGGGCTCTAGATGGTCTGGCAGCAGTAACACGTGGACCTTCTGGAAGCTGCGCTGAGCGCCTGAGTTGTGTATGGAGGCGAGAGGGGGGCAGAGGCTCCAGGACTCGGGGCTCATGTGGCAGGAGTCCTTCCTCGTGCTGACTGAGCAGCTGGAAAGTGGATTTTGCTGATTTTGCTCGTGGTGCGTGTTTTGCCCTGGGTGGGACTGTGGAACACTTTCATGAGCCATTCACTTGAGAGACAGTTTTCTCATGTTGAATTTTCCCAAGGCCTGAAGGAAGGCTGAGGCTGTTACACAGCTCAGACTTCTGTCCAAGCCAGGTATTCACCAGTGAGACATGTTTAGGAAAACACCAGACTCTCGGATGCGGCGACATGCGACCCCAGACAATAAAGTTAAACTGCCTCCAACACCAAGTGGAGAGGGGCCCGTTGTGTTGGGGTGAGGTGCACCTCATGGTGTAGCATCCCTCCCCCCAAGTTCTGGTGCAGACAGGAGCCACAGAAAGACAGTAAGAGGGGAGATAGAGTCCATGCACAAGCTGTTTGGAGGCTCTGGCATCCCCCGGCCTGCGTGTCCCATGCCGCCATTCTCATCGGATGATCCAGAGAGAGTTCTGGGCTGCTCCACGGGGCCGGCTGTGTAATCGGCCCTTTCTTCACCAGTGCTCGCTGGCAGGATGCTGAATGCAGAGATGCAGTGAGCTATGCAATAGGGAAACCTTTTTAAATGGCTTAAGAAGAGCTTTTTGGTGAAGAATTTCTATAGTGACCACTTTCGTAAGGCCAAGAATACTCTGGAACCTCCCCCCTTACTCGTCTCCTGTAAAATTAGATTTTTATCTTCTGCTTTGTAAAAACCAAGGCCCATCTGGACAGCAAAGACAACCTGCCCTGGAGGCGCTCTGGGAACGCAGTGGTGGGTCTGGGTGCGAGCCCGCACACTCCAAGGAGGGCTTGTCAGAGACGCCCAGGCATGGGCATGGCTGACGGCTGGTGCCTGGCCCCGCTGTCAAAGGCCCTTGGTGTGAGGGCCAGAAGGCAGCTTGTTTCCCACACCACCCTTCTGATGGGTGCAGATTAGCTGTGACCTATCCCTGTCCCAGGGAAGTCGCTGCTGTACAGGATGGAAGTATCCGCATCTATAGCGTGTACCAGAGACCTGCTGGGCGCCAGCATCCTGGGTCATCAGGCTATGGAGACCCAGCAGCATCTCTCTCATTTTCACTCTGTATTTTCAGTTGCACAAGCAAACCAAACCATAAAAATAAAGACATCTTTTAAACAGATGCTCACCCCTGCCCCTGCCACCCTGACGTGTAAAGTGTCTTCTCTCCCCAAGGTCTCTGTGCAGAAGCAGACATGAGGCTTACCTGGTTACGATCGAGGCAGACGTGAATTAGCTTTGACGTTTCACATTTGTTTGTATCCTAAGTAGACCTTCCTCTTCTATAGTGTGTTAAAGTCGCCGTGTAGTGGCTGCACGCTCATCCGGTCATCTTAGTCCTTTATTTTTGTTTCCTGTTCTCATTGGTACCTTTTCCTCTTTGTTTCTGTAGGATGTTCTCAGGCAGGTGATCCTCATGAGATTGCCCGATGTCGTGGTGATCGGCAAGGACCCGCTGTCTGGTGAGTGAACGCTGTGAACAAATAGCTATGTACAGAATTCTCATTTGGTTTAAATAATATACAGCCCCACACATGGAAAACAGACGGCATGTGTACACCCAAGTAGAAAGCACTGTGTAGAGAAAGGATTTTTTTTTGTAGCTTATCTGATTTTTTCTCCCCCTACAGCAGACTACTGTCTCACCGGTGAGATTTTATGAAAAGATGAGCCTAATTAAATATGTTGCCCTTTGGATTTAGGCAGAAGCATGGAGGAAGTCAAGAAGGTGCTGGTCCTGCTCCTGGGCTGTGCTGTCCAGGTAGGGCTTGCGCAGGGGTGGAGGGGGCCTGCCCTCAGCCACCTGTGTTTGGGTTTGTGGGGATAAATCTCCTCCTTAGTGAGGTAGGAGTGAAGTTGCCTACAGCCCAACGTGACACATCCCTGGATTCCTGAGAGAAGGGACCACTCAATAGTTAGCAGCCGATGCTAGTGCCAAGGCACCTTTGGCAAGAAGCAGGTGGGGATTCCTCAGCCTAGGGTGCCATTAGCAAACTGTCCCCTGTATAGGGACACCTAGAGCAAAGGTGAGAAACTACATACAGCCTGGGGACAGAATCTGACCCACCCATTGTTTTTGAAAGTGAGCTTTCAAGGGAACAGAACCCCAGTAGTTCCTTGTGTGTCACTTCTGGTTGCTCTCACACCACAATGGCAGAGCCGAGACCAAATGGCCTGCAGACTCCTAAAATTTTTTTACCACCCAGCACTTCAAGGATGTAGTTTGCCACCCCTTGCCTTAAACCAAGTTTTCTTTTTTATTTTATTTTATTTGTTATGGTTTTTTTTTATTTTTATTGATTTCAGGGGGAGGGAGGGAGAGATAGAAACATTGATGAGAGAGAAACATTGAATGGCTGCCTTCTGCATGCCTCCTACTGGAGATCGAGCCCCAAACCCAGGCATGTGCAACCTGGTCATGTGCCCTGACTGGGATTTGAACCCCAGGCCTCCCGGTGCCTGGGATGATGCTCGACCCTGAGCAACAGCAGCCCAGCAAACCCGGTGTTCTTGATCTTTACTTGTTTCAGAGTCGCCTGGAGAGGTTGTTTCATGTGCAGATTTCTGTGTTTCACCCCCAGTGTTTTCAAACTAAAGGTCTTTTTATAAACAAGCACCCCAGGTGATTCAGATGTAGATGTTCAGAGCAAGTTCTAGAGGAACCCCAGTCTTGGGCGATAGGGAGGACATGTTCTTGGAGGAATATAAAAGAGGAAGCCAGGGACTGGGTGTGCCGTTGGTTTGGAAACTCTGAGCTGCACTGGGCCCAGGTTGTCTCACTGGCAAAATGCTTCCATTGACACGGGTTACCCTCCACAGCGTGAGACGAGAGAGGAGTATATAAACCGGATCCAGGAGCTGGACAGTGAGACCCAGGCCAGGATCGTGGCCCATATTCAGGAGGTAGGTGTGTCCCTGGCTTCGTGGGGCTCAGCCGTGGACCCCACTCCTGTGTAGCCAGGAGGCAGGCTCTCTCCACCAGGGAAAAGTTTAAAGACTATGTCACCCATTTGTGATTTTACTAGGTTTAGGTTTCAGACACCACAGAAATGTCGATCCTGTTTGGAAAGGTAGTGTTCTGTAGGGCCTCCAACCCCAGAAGCGCCAAGCTGTCCTTTGCTAGTTCAAAAACGCCACTTGAGGGACCAGAGGGGAGAAACATAGCCTTTATTACTTACATCTGGGCCAGGGTAGGCTAGGGGCTTGCTTATCCATCAGAGGAGAGAGGGAGAGGGAGGGAGTCATGCTGGGGATGGCCTGTGTGCAGACCAAGGACAAACAGCCTGGTGAGGCTTGTTAGCCTTCAAGGACATGGGCAACAATTGGGTCTGTGCAGCTAGGCTCTGCATGGCCCCTGGCCAGGCAGATACCTTGCCCCTGACTGGGAGTGGTCTGGGCTGTGTCCTTGCTTGACCCTACAGGCTGTCATCAGCAAGCTAAAATAAAATGGGAGTAAGAATTTAAAACGTTCTTTAAAACCTCCTCAGTCAGGTCTTCTGCCTTCTGTTCTTGACTAATATGGACTCAGACTACTTTTAAGTACTGTCAAGTGATTCGGGCTCCAAATTTGATTTAGAGGTCCTGAAAATATATCTGGCAAATGTCACCCTGCTTCAGATGGTTGATCTTCATGGAGAAAGATGCTCTGTGTCAGTGACATGGCAGAGAAACAGGCTGCCACCACCTGGGAGGTTAGGAACCACCAGGTCCCAGAAGGGCTGTCACCATAGACTCTTCTCCTGGGCTGGGGTGAGAAGGGCTCTGCACTGAGGACGGCCCCTCGGCATTGACCTTGGCAGAGGTGGTAACATCAGAGAAGTGGTTTCCCTGGAAACTGGGCCTGTGGGGCAAGCCCGTACCTGAAAATGGGTTTCCCTGACACTCCCACACCCTCCCTTCCAGAAGCAGCCTTGTATGTTTTAAGTATCTTGGGAGATGAGGTTCAGCCTTCAGTCTGATTGGACAGGTGAGATTAAGGCATGAAAAAGACAGGAGCAGGAGCACATAGGAGCAGGTGTGTGACTGGCAGGGGCAGCTGAACACAGCTCCTTATGCCGGTGCCGGGGACAGGCTGGGCTGATGGGTCCACAGCCGCCAGGCACCATGGGTGCTGGGTTCTGGGTTCTGAGTCAGCACTGGAGCAGGAGATGCATGCAGCTTGCTGTAGTCTAGGGGAAAGTCAGCATTGTGGTAAATACACTTAGCCATTCATGTGGGCAAGTGGCCACCTGTCAGCCTAAGAACCATTCTGCCTTTTGATTTCCCTGGTGTGTCCACATGTTTTGAAAATGTATGTACCTGGGGACTAGGTCTGCCACTCATTGTCTTTTCTGCTCAGCCAGCAGGATATTTGTAATAAAAGGGGGTTGCAATGCTGCCCAAAGAGTCCTGAGGGATGATGAAATTCAGGGCTGCCCTTGGGAGGTAGGTGCTCTTGGGCCCTCGCAGCTGCTCCCTGCCCAGCCGCTGCAGCACCGTCCCNAGGACTAGGTCTGCCACTCGCTGTCTTTTCTGCTCAGCCAGCAGGATATTTGTAATAAAAGGGGGTTGCAATGCAACCCAAAGATTCCTGAGTGATGATGAAATTCAGGGCTGCCCTTGGGAGGTAGGTGCTCTTGGGCCCTCGCAGCTGCTCCCTGCCCAGCCGCTGCAGCACCGTCCCATGTGTGCCCTCAGGNTTCCCATGTGTGCCCTTCAGAATTAGTTGGGTGCTTCTTAAACATTCAGGTGCCCAGGCCCCGCAAGAGACCTACAGAGTCAGAATCGGGGGAGGAGCAACATATACCTTTAATTAAAGCTGCTCGTGTGATGGATGTGTGGCTGGGGTTGCATCCCAAGATCCCCTTTACAGACATGAAAGGCCTTTCCCAGGCACTGGTGTGGAGCAGGCCTAGAGCCCAGCTCCTGAGTCCCAGATCCTAGCCTTTGGGGTGCCCTGTATCATGGGCCTCTGTTCCTACCCAGCAGAAAGGGAAAACTAGGTGCTTCTAATGGCCTGTGGGGCTGAGATACAGGCTTATCTGAAAATTATCTTAGATTATGAAATGTTTGCCCCCAAAATAACATGAGATTGTTATTACTCAATATTCTGACATAAGCATTTTAATATTGTGCCATGTTCGCCTTAGATTTTATTTTAAGAAATAAGATTCTATTCCTCTCTCGCCCTCGCTCTTGCGAGGCTGACCTTCTCTGTGTGATGAATGGATGGTGCTCCATTCAGAACATCTAAGGACTATTGAGGAAACTACTGCATTGTAAGGACCTTTCTGGTGTTAAGTCAGTGTCCTCTTTGAGCTGGTGATGAAGGCAGAAGTGGTTTGTGTTAGTAAAGAGCTCGGCTGCAGAGAGTGGGGCTGCACTTGCTCAGGAGGCCCCTGCCGGCCACAGGAAACTTGTAGATGAGGGTTATTAATGTCAGTGACATGGGTTAGCTGTGGGAGTGTCCGCCTAGGCCCCAAGGCAAGGCCTTGGGAGGTGAGTGCTCTTGGTCCCACACAGCTGCTCCCTGCCTGGCCTCTGCAGCACAGTCCCATATGTGCCCTCAGGTGACCCACATCCAGGATAACATGCTGGATCTGCACATCTTGGAGGTTCCAGACGTGTCCCGGGAGGAGCTGGAAGCCTCCTTGAGGAACATGCTGTCTCACCTGAGGAGGCTCGTAGATGAGCGAGATGAATACAGGGAGGTGTGTTTGCAGGGGGCCCAGCAGCCTGGTGGGACAGGTGGGGAAGGGGCTGGGCCTAGGGTCCTCGTTATGGGCCACTCTCCTCATCCCAACTCTCTCTCTCAATCCCACACACCACTCTGACCCCTGGCAGAGGTTCTGCGGGGGCAGGATGTGGGGACTCTCCCTACAGTGCACAGTTACTTCTGAATCACCTGCATCAGGGTAGAAGTTGAACTTGAGGACCCTGTTCCATTCATGCCCCTGTCTCACTAAACATGTCATCACTTTTTACAAACTTACATCACTGTTCTCCTGCCCCTCTTCTGTTCTTGCAGTGTTGGCTGCCATCTTCTCTTTTACTTTCTTCTGTCTTTTGGTCATTTTTCACCAAGTTCTAGGGCGGGCACTGTGCTGGGCACAAGAGCCCACACTGAGACCCCCTCTCTGCCCTGCTGCAGATAATCGTGGACCTGACTCAGGAGCGGGACCACCTCCGGGCACAGCAGCTGCCCTGCCCCCTCCAGGCCTCCAGTGCTGAGTCCGCACCCGGCCCAACCAGTGTCCTGTCCAGCGAGCATGGGCAGCACCTGGTNCCCAGCGAGGATGGGCAGCACCTGGTCCTGGAGCTAGTGGACACCAAGTCCAGGCTGTGCCACGTCAGCCAGGAGCTGTGAGTCCTCCAGTGCCCGGCCTGTCTGCTCTTGTGTGTGTGTCACCAACACGTTTCTAGCACATGTGGTTCACTTCCCTGTGGTACAGTGGACAGGAGCACTCTGACTCAAGCCTTGGAGCCATTGGGCTCTGCTCTGAGCTTGGTCCCTGTTTGACCCTGGACTAGTATACTCCCACCGAGGGCCTCACAGGAGGGATTCTGCTGGGACTTTAGGGCTCCTCCCAGTCCAGATATTACAAGCTAAGAGGCCTCTGTTCACCCTCAGGCCCAATGTGGGGCTCGAGTGGTCACACACTGGTGTGTGTGTTCTTGGCTGGAGGGAGGATGTGTCTCACCCTGTCTGTTGAGACTGTTCCCCCTTTCCTGCAGCTGGTGATGTCACCTGGCCTGTCATCTCAGGAGCTGCCTGCCTTCACCTCCCTGCCTGCGTGTGGGCTTCACTGCCTGCCTGGCTGTGGGGTGGATCAGTGGCTCAGTGGCTCCTGGGGTCTCCTATCCTGTCCCTTACCCTCCAAGGAAAACTCAGTGTCTGGTGGGTGTAGTCTGAGAGCAGGCATTGAAAACTTAAGAATAGGAAATCCCAAAATGGCAGCAGACTGAGTGGAAGCTACACTGACACTCTCCCGGGACCAAACTGGAATGACAACTAAACTATAGAAAAAGCAACCTGAATAATCAACTGCAACTGAAGATGAGCTAAAGAGCACCCTCATAACCAAGGAGGAAAATGGGAGACCACATGGAGACTGGTAGGAAGTGCAGAGGCTTGAGCAGGCTGGCTGGCTCCCACAGGCAGCAGCTGCTGGTCTGGAGGGTTATATCAGCTGTGGGTGGTTCCACTGAGAACTGTGGGGCCTAAACCCCAGGCTGTGCTCCCCAACCCAGAGCACCGGACCTGAGAAAGGTGCCCACATAACATCTGGCTGTGAAAAGCAACAGGGTTTCTGTCTGCCAGGAAGAGATGGCTGGAAATGCAGGCATCCTCTTAAAGGGCCAACAAAAAGTTTTGAGTGCAGCCACTCACCTTGGGCTCCAGAAGAGGGAGAGCAGAGTGGACTGAAGCTGTTGAGGAAAATCCAGGGATGCCGCCTCTGGCCATAGAGCTGGAGGACAGCCATCTGGACTCCTGTGCCAAGTCATTCCCCCATACTACAGAGGACATCTTTCTCAGGCAGACATTTACCACCCAGCCAGCTTTTGTCTGGGGGGGAAGCAATTGCCCCACCCTTTGGAAAACCTCTCACCCCACTCTGTGGTCTACAGCCTGAGGCTCATTAAGAGACTAAGAATAATAATCAGCCTGCAGGCAGAGGTGGACCTCTGGATGCTTTAAGTCTTTGCCTGATCTGCTTCTAGACCCAGGGTTTGGAAAAACAGATCTTGGTGCACATCCTGTTCCTTTCTCAAATGCACTCAGCACCAGCAGAGAGAGCCACAAGTTATGGGTCACTTATGGCTCCAAACAGGGTACCCAAGGCCTATCACAAACAATGTCTGACATAGGCCTGCCCCAGAAACCCTCCCAAAAGACTGAGAGTCCTAGGAGATTTACCTAATACATAGAAACAAACCCAAGCAGCCAGCCAAAATGGGGAGACAAACAAACAAACCCCAAATGAAAAAACAAGAGAATTCTCCAGAAGAAGATCTAAATGAAATGGAGATAAGCAATCTTATCAGGTACAGAGTTCAAAATAATGATTGTATGGATGCTCGACAGCATGAGAAAAGATATGGAAACCATGAAGGAAATGGAAAATGGAGAAAAGGGAATAGTGGTTCACTGCTGGTGGGAATGTAGACTGGTACAACCACTCTGGAAAGCAGTCTGGCAATTCCTCAAAAAATAAATAATAGAGCTACCATAAGACCCAGGAATTCCTCTCCTGGGTATATATTCAAAAAACTCCAAAACATTTATTCACAAAGATATATGCACCCCTATGTTCAGTGCAGCATTATTCATGGTGCCCAAGACATGGAAACAACCAAAGTGTCCTGTGATAGAGGACTGGATAAAGAAGATATGGGACATGTACACAATGGAATACTACTCAGCCATAAGAAAAGACGAAATACTGCCATTCGAAATAACATGGATAGACCTTGAGAATATTATGCTAAGTGAAATCAGTCATAAAAAGCTAAGAACCATATGATTTCACTCATATGTGAGATATAAAACTAGAACTTGTGGACACAAACAACAGTGTGGTGGTTGCCATAGGAAAGGGAGTGGGGAGGTGGGGGTAAAGAGGGTCTTAATATATGGTGATGGGAGAAGATAGGACTATGGGTATTGGGTACAGAGAGCAATATACAGATCTTGTAACATAGAAACACACACCTGAAACCGATATGTTCATATTAACCATTGTCACACCAATAACTTTAATAAAGTGTTTAAAAAATTAAGAATGACATAGCACAAATAAAGAATACATTGGGCCCTAGCCAGTTTGGCTCAGTGGTAGGAGTGTCGGCCTGAGGACTGAAGGGTCCTGCGTTCCATTCCAGCCAAAGTCATGTATTTTGGTTGCAGTCTCGATCCCTGGCCCTGGTCAGGTCATGTGCGGGAGGCAACCAATCTATGTGTGTCTCACAACAATGTTTCTCTCTCTCTCTCTTTCTTTCTCTCCCCCTGGCCCCACTTTCTCTGAAAAACATTGGAAAATTATCCTCAGTTGAGGATGAAAAGAAGAAGAAGACATTAGGAGGGATAAACATATTAGAGGAAGATGAGGATCATATCAGCCAATTAGAACACAGGGTAGAAAAAAAGCACTCAGAAATCCAAAAATAAAAAATAAAGGACAGTTTAAGGGAACTGGGGGACAACATGAAATGTAACAATATTTGCATCATAGGAGTCCCAGAAGGTGAAGAAAGTGATCAAGGGATAGAGAACCTGTTTGAAGAAAGAATGGCAGAAAACTCCCTTAATTTGGTCAAGGAAAAATCACACAAGTTCAGGAGGCACAGAGAGTCCCAAGCAAGAAAAATCCAAAGAGGCCGATGCCCAGACACATCATAATTAAAATGCCAAAAATTCAAGTCAAAGAATCTTAAAGGCAGCAAGAGAAAAGCAAGCTGTCACCTACAAAGGAGCTCTCATAGGCTGTCAACTGATTTCTCATCAGACACTCTACAGGCCAGAAGGGAATGGCATGAAGTATTCAAGGTAATGAAAAGCAAGGATCTAAAACCAAGACTACTCTATCCAGCAAGGCTGTCATTCAAGATAGATGGTGAAATAAAGAGCTTTCCAGACAAAAAAAGCTAAAGGAGTTTATCACCACCAAACAAGCATTGCAAGAAGTGTTAAAGGGACTGCTGTAATCAGAGTAGAATGCAGGGTAGAGCGGAATTCAGCTGTGTATGTTGTGGTTTCTTTGAGAAGCGCGTGGAGTTCAGAAAACAGGCAAGGTATTCCCAGTAGGCTAGGGGAGGGAGGCTGCTTTGACAGGAACTAGAAGGGACCATGGAGACAGGTCAGAGGGGGGAGGAGGAGGACTTGGCTCCACAGCTGGAGGAGACCCCCCAGAGCTGCCCCAATGTCTGTCCCAACTACCATTCTCCCCTTTCTCAGCTGTCCAGCCCCACCCCCTGCCCATCCCCATCCCCCTCAGCTCTGCAAAGAGAAGCCATGCACAGAAGGCTTTGCAGTCTTCTGAGGTGTCTGTTCCTATTGGGTGTCTTCCCTCCACAGGCAGGAAGAAAAACTGAAACACAGGGAGGCACTGGAGCAGCTGGAGAAGCTTCTGAACAGTGAGCAGAAGGCTCTTCAGCAGGAGCAGAGGAGGAAGACCACCCTTGCCAATGAGAAGCAGAGGCTATGGGGAGAGCTGGACAGGTAACCGCCCCACCCCACGCAGCGGCGTCTGCCAGGGTTTCATTCAGAACAACTCACTCAGCACCCGCTGAGCAAAACTCGAGAGAGTCCTCTGGTGATGGTGCATTTTTACCAACCCTGTCATGTTAACTGCTGGATGGTAAGAAGGTAAAAGGGGACCCCAGCTGGTGGCTGGGATGGCAGGACTAGGGACACCTGGGATGGTGCCCTGTCTGGGCTTGGACAGCCTCACCTCCCACACTGGTGATGGTGATGATGGCATTGGGCCCGGGCACCTTCAGCCTCTAACTCCAGCGATCGGTCCCCTGAGGGAAGGAGGGAGAGTCCGTCCTCATTCACAAATTCCCTGTGTGTGAATCACCTACTGGCTGAAATGTCCTTGTAACCCCCAGACCAGCACCTGCGGCCTTTTGTGGACATGCGCAGAGTGCGGGACACCAGCGTCGCCTGATGTGCACATTTGCAGCTGAGGTCGACGAGGCCTTTGATTCCTGCCTTGTGCAGCTCACACTGCAAACAAGTGTCCTTCTTGTGGCCCAGTTAGTGCCATGGTTTTCTCGTTTTGTGCTTTTTGGTGGCAATTTTGCTGTTTGAAATGGCCCCCAAATGGAGTGCTGAGTGCTGCCTAGTGCTCCCATGTGCAGGGCTTCCCTAGGCCTCATGGAGTACACGAGTGGTAGATAAGGCTCCTGCAGGCAGGAGTCCCGGTGTTGTTGCTGTGAGTACATTACACAACATCTTTATGTCTTGGTCAGTTGTCCTGAGGCGCACAGGAAAGTTGGCAACAGGTTCAGTGGACACTGATTCCATGTTCACAGTGACAATAGAGCATTATACCGGGGATCACGGGAGTGAATGAGCTCTTTCACAGGTGAGGAAACAGCTCAGAGAGAGTAACTCTCTTGTTCAAGGTCAGTGCTCCTAGTTAGTGGCTCAGTCAGGACTTGAGTCCAGGTCTTGTCTCAACCCAGAGGTATGACCATAGGAAGCATTCCTCTCCACAGCCTTGTTTTAGCATGTCCTTGGGGGCTGCAAACTCAGGTGCCTCTGGTGGCCAGGCAGGTCCAGGATGTGGGGAAGGAATGTCAGTGACAGACCACAACTTCGTGGAGAGCACACACCGTCTGAAGGCATCAGCTGGGAGGTGGGCACGGGGCTGCCAGGTCATCTTTTGTTGATGCTTTTTTCTTCTGAGAAGCTAGACATCTGAACGTTGATATAAAACTTAAAATTTTTTAATGTTGATAAACTAATTAATTTTTTAAAAAACAACTGTGTGGGCCAAACTGGACACATCTATGTTCAAACAGGCCATGAGCCTCTGATAATTGGAGGTTTCTGGTATAAATATCCCCCAGGAAACCCAGTCAGGTAATTTATGATGATAATTTCAGTGGATTTACATAATATCTGGAATCTCATATTTTATTTATCTCAGGAGTTGAAATTAGAAAGGGGCTTGGAATTGGGGAGAAGAGCTGGGAATAGGCATAGAGTTTTAGAGCAAAACTGTTCTGGTTCAATGTTTTTAAAAAGTGTTTTAATAGAAGAATACTTTTTTCCAAGTAAGCAGGGGTACCAGTGCCTTAAGTATGAAAGATTTTAACAGTGATGCTCTGTTAAAGTGGTGTCTGAGCCTGCCTGTCCTGTCCCCCCAGCCCACAGTGGGGTACCAAGGGGAGCCTCATAGGACCCCAATAGCCACAGTTTGAAAACTGCTGATTTTGTTCAACCTTTCACTTACACTTGAGAAAAACTAAGGCCCAGAGAGGATGCAGTTTTGATTAAGGTTGCACAGGTGGGACAGAGCCTGGGAGTGCTCCTCAGACCTTGACCCTGTGTCTCTCCATCCCCAGGGTCAATATCCTGCACCAGCAGCTAAAGTGGGAGCATAGGGAGCTGCAAGCCCACAACAAGGAGCTGGAAACCTCACTGGAGAGCTCCCAGCTGGAGTCGAAGCACTGGCAGGCCCAGTACTATGAGCTGAAGGCGGAGCACGAGGAACTGCAAGCCCACACCAACAAGCTGGAAACCTCGCTGGACAGCTCAAAGCTGGAGGTAAACCGCTGGCAGGCCCAGTCTGCAGGGCAGAAGAGGGAGCAGGAGGAGCTGCGCACCCACAACAAGGAGCTGCAAGCCTCCCTGGACAGCTCAGAGCTGGAGGTGCACCGCTGGCAGGCCCGGTACCACGAGCTGAAGGAGGAGCACTGGAGCATGGAAACCTCACTGACCAAGCTGCACAAACAATGCGAGGTGAGGCCCGGGGCTGGTGGGCCTCGGGACGCCGGGCTGAGTTCCCTGGGCTGACAGCCTTGGTCTCGGCAGGGTGGGAATGGGCCATCACTGGGGTCTGTGCTCAGAGACTGTGTGTGAATGTCACACAGAGGCCGAGGGGAAGCCAGGAGTATTTGAAGGGACGAACTCCATGGCTGGCAGGGATGTGTTAGGAAACACCTTTCATCTGACCTTGGCTCTTTGCAGGGTAGGACAGTGCATGGAAGCAGCCCAGTACTGTTTCATGTCTGTCTTCCAGCTGAGCACTTTGCTCTGTGCTCACCTGGCTCCTCTCACTCAGTTCTCACAATGATCTTGTGAGCTGGGGCTCCTGTCTCATCTCTCTTAACTGGTGGGTTGGAACTCAGTCTGAAGCCAGAGCTTTTTACTCTCTTGTTACACCAACCACGATGATATTCCAGAGCGGGAGGTGCCAGCCTCACCCCAAGTTCAGATCCAGACTCCCCTCCCCTGCTTGTTTTTGTATGTCTGTGAACCAAAACAGCTTTTACAGTTTTAATGGTTGGGGAATCAAAAGAAGAAGAATATTTGGTGTGAAGTGAAAATGGTATAAAATTTAAATGTCTGTGTCCACAAGTAAAGTTTTTTTGTTTTTTTTTTATCACAGCCACAACCATGCATGTGCATTTTATCTCTGGCTACTTTCCTGCTGTAATAATGGAGTTGAATAGTTGAAACAGAGACCACCATCCTGCCAGAAAGCCTAAAATATTTACTATCTCGCTCTTTACAGAAAAACTGTGCCAACCTCATCTAGAGCAGGGATGTCCAATCGGAATATAATGCAGGCTGCCACACATAATACAGAATTTTCTAGTAGCCACATTAAGAAAGTAAAAGGAAACAGGTGGGATTAATTTTAATGATATATTTTATTTAGCCTTTATATCTAAAATATCACATGTATCCCTAGAAAACTTATTAATGAGATTTTTTTCTTTAGTTTTTTTATTGATTATTTTGAGAGAAAGGGGGAGGGAGAGAGAGAAACATCAATGAAGAGAGAGTCATTGATTGGCTGCCTCCTGCACGCCCTCTCCTGGAAAGTGAGCCTGTAACCATGTGCCCTGACCCGGAATGGAACAGGTGACCTCCTGGTTCATGGGTCAACGCTCAACCAGTGGACCACACCAGCTGGGCAGCTTATTAATGAGATATTTAACATTTTTTCTTAAAATTGTTATTAAGTCCTCAGAATCTTGTATATTTTGTCTAACGGCACGTCTCAACTCAGACCGGCTGCGTTTTCAGAGCTCGGCCTCCACGCGTGGCCAGCGGCTGCCTGATTGGACGGTGCAGTGACAGAAGGCTTGGCCGTCCCCAGATCACTGACCATATTAGTCATTCTGACTGGCGTAGAAAATACCGAAATGGCCATCTTTGTGCACGTGGCTCCCTTCCTCTTTGGAAGTAGATTCCCAGCATGAGTCATGGGGAGCATGGTCTTTGAGACATTGTCGATCTGTGTTTTAGATGCTGTTTGATCTCAGGGGGGACTTGGAGAAAGAAAATCACTACCTCTCGGTCCAGATCCAGATGATGGACCAGGAGAACCTGAGGCTTCTGGAGCAGAAGTTGGATAACCAGGATCAGTACCATGAGGAGCAGCAGTACATGTAAGGGGTGTGGGCGGGCTGGGACCTGTCCACAGAGGGGTCCTGGTTTCCAGCTCCAGCCTAGACCCTGACTTTCAGGGCAGAAAACCCCCGGAACACATCGCGTCCCAAGGGTGAGGGGACAGACCATCCTACCACGGCATCCTCCTCTCATTTTCCCTGGGATGGTCCTAGGTATCTGCAAGTGGGGTGATTGGCCTTTGCTTTTCAAAGACACTGCCCTCTGCCAGACGCTTCGTGATCTGCTTTTGGAATGAAGTTCACTTTAAAAAATAGGACAGCAGCAAAGAGAGGCCCCCAGGGAAGGAATTCAGGTCGAAGGCTGAGCCCTTCCTATGTCCGCTTTTTCTTCATGGGCTGGGGAATGGGTTGTGGTGCGCTGTGACTGTCCTCCCTCTGCCAATATCTACAGGGTCCTGGGTTTGCCGGAGGCCCTACAAGGTGCACAGGACCAATTACCTGGTCGCCAGGAACCAGAATGGGAGACGGGATATGAGCAGAGCTACATACACACCTGACATGTGTTGAGGGGCTCCATGGGGGCGTAGAAGGAAGTGTGGTGGTGGGAGTTGGGTGCTGCTGCTGACATGGATGGGGGAAGGCTAGCCAGTGGGGGGGCACTCATGAGGGAACCTGGTACCCAAGGGGATGATCTGGCGACGGTTTTGCATTAGAGGGTATCTGCACGAGGCCAGGGCTTCCTGAGCCCGCTCTGAGCAGACTGTTCCCCAGCCCTGGGAGGGCTGCGGTGTCTGCCCTCCATGAGTTTGTGCAGCTGGCAGGGGGGCAGGGGGCAGGCCGTCAAACCCAGACAGGAAAACGCTCTAGCATAAGGCCAAGCAGCATGGCTGTGGGAGCAGAATAACACAGACGAGAATAGCAGATGTGGAGCCAAGGGCGCTGGGAGCAGAGCAGGGTCGATGGTTGGGGGCCCTGTGGTTTGCGAGCTACCACCTTTCAAGGGTGCTCACCCACGGTGAACTCCTGGGAACGCCTTTGGTTTAGGCAGGACTGTGGCAGCTTCATGACCGGAGCAGCCTGAGCAGCTGCCTTGGTCCAGAGGACTCATTTTCAGGCGAGGAAACCAGGGGTCTGAGCTGCCAAGGCCACACCAGCTGCAAGAGGCAGGAGTAGGACAGGAGCCAGCAGCCCCCTGGGATGCATTGTATGGATATCACCACGTGCTCCACTTGGGGACAGGGTGGAACAAAAGCAGACCATCTGCCTCAGGAAGACCAGGTGCCCTCTCCCCATGAGCAGGGTGCCCTCTTTTGTCCTTTCTGTGTTTTTGAAAATGTGAACTGATTTCCAGCATTTAGATATTAAGAGATTTTGCTTCACACCCTGGGTTTCTGGATCCTTTGGGAAAATGACCAGAAGTTCCGCCTCCTCGGGAGCAGCGCTCCTTTGCAGGGGCTGAGTTCAGTCCCACGCAGCACCGAGCGCTCAGCCAGGGCAGCCCAGCCATTCTGCCTGGTCCTTCCAGGCCCGCTTTGCTCCTCTCCTCCTCTGTCTGGCCCCCGAGAGGCTCTGGGTTTGCTTCCGTGGGAGTGTTATCAGAAACCAACATTGGAATGGGTCGAGGTCAGAGGTCTGACTTTGCTAAGCTGACTTTTGTAACCTTGATGCCCATCGAACTGACTGAGGGCAGACCCCTCCTCACCATGGAAGGTCTTGTAAGTCTGCACCTGCAGGAGCCNTTGAGGGCAGACCTCTCCCCACCATGGAAGGTCTTGTAAGTCTGCACCTACAGGCGCCAGCTTAGTCCTGTATCTGACCCCGAGTGCCCAACATCCTGAATTGACTTGGCCTGAGAGTCCTTGGGGCTTGTGAGCTTGAGTTTCAGGTGGTCTGGGTCTTGCTCTCCTGAGATGATGTACAGCCTGGACCTAGGTGCTCCAGGTCTCCTCCAGGTGTCATGGTTTCTGGACCACGTCTGATGCTTCCATTCACACATCCCCACCTCTGCCACCATGATGGTCATACGCACCATGATGCCTGAGCCCCAGAAAACTACCGGCCCTTCTGGGCCAGGTCCCAGGCTGGGCTGATGGGTCAATTCATGTGTTTTATTTTAAAAGCCAGATTGTTTTTCTCTTTCTCTTCTGTTTACAGAGACAAAATAAATGCCTTAGAGAGACAAAAAGAAAAACTGGAAGAGAAATTCATGGCTCAGCACCAGTTCTCTGAACTGTCTCTAAAGCAGTGAGTTGACTTAAGCTCCAGTGACTTAAACAGAAGAGAGGGCTTGCTCTCTCACGAGGAGGGGACACTGTAGCCACCTGGAGCAGTGGCCAGTGGGTGGGCCAGTGTCTTCCACTGTACGGCAGGTCATCTGTGCTCAGGTTCCTCCCAGCATGGACAGGATTTAGAGTTTCTTTCAGTCCCGCCCTCCATACTCATGGCTATCCCATGGGGGATGGCAAATGCCAGCTGGTCATGAGCCTGTGTAAGGGGGCAGACGGTTTGTGGTTTTAGAGCCATTAAATCAGGAGTGTCAGGATTTGCCCCAAGATTTCAGGCTGTAGAAAACCATGTTTCTGTTTTGGGAAGGAAGCTTGGGTCAGACACCTGGACGAGCGCCCCTGGGCCAGTTATTCTCACACACAAGAACCTCCTGGTCTTACCTAAATTCCTCTGGATTCACGGGACCCCAGGGGTTTCCACAAACACTTCCTTTCTCCAGGGAGCAGTAGCCCCAGTAGTGGGCTGGCTCAGTCCCCATCCAGCAGGGCTTCCCCTGGTCCCGGGCCTGAGCCCCAGGAGCTGCCTTTCAGATGGTCTTGCCCCAGCCCAGCCTTGAAGTCAGATCCCCATGAGTCCTGCAAGGCCTCTCTGTGGAAGTCACAGAACCACAGAACTTCAGAGCCTCCGCCTGACCCCTCTGTTGACAGGAATTGAGGCACCGATGAGGAAATAGAGTGATTTGTGTGAGCACAGTGCTGTTTTGTGGCAGAGCCAGGATTCGAACCCAGATGGGGTTCTTCTGTTAGGTTAGAGGGCCTCCATTTCCAGTCAGCTGCAATGTATTACCCTTAAATTGACTTTTTATTTATTTAATTTATTTTTAATCTTCACCTGAAGATATTTTTTTCATTGATTTTTAGAGAGAGAAGGGAGGAAAGAAGGGAAGAGGAAGGGGAGGAGAGAGGGAGACATCGATTGGTTGCCTGCTGCATGCGCCTCGACCAGGGCTGGATATTGAACCTGCAACCGAGGTACAGCCCTTGACTGGGAATCGAACCTGCAACCCTTTGGTGCTTGGGAAATACTCTAACCACTGAACAACACTGGCCAGAGCTCACTGTTTATATATTATTTTTAATTTTTTAAAAAATGTCTTTATTGATTTCAGAGAGAAGAAGGGATGGGGGAAAGAGAGACAGAGAATCAATGATGAGAGTCATTGATCAGCTGCCTCCTGCAGGCCCTCCCACTGGGGATCGAGCCCATAATCCAGGCTTCTGGCCTGACTGGGGATTTGAACTACGATCTCCTGTATCATAGGTTGATGCTCAACCGCTGAGCCACACCAGCTGGGCAAGGGGCACTGTTTTTAATTGAAATGGCCCAGTCTGCCCTGCCTCCCCCCCCACCCAGATTCCTCAGTGCCGGGAATGGGCAGAGTATCCCAGCCTATTGCACTTATTATTAACCATGGCAGCAAACGAGAAGGTCCCTGGCTCTTCCTGAAAGTGGCATTTTGCTGGGAACTTGGAGCAAACATGGGTTAGATTAGCGCAGAACCAGGTCCTGTACTCGGCACAGGCAGCCAAGAGCCGGGGGCTGTGTTCGAAGTTCTGTCTCCCGAGAGGCTAGTGTGGGTTTCTGCCACGATGAACGCTTCTCCCCATCCTGGGTCTGTGCTCATTAACGGCAAATAAGGTTCTACCTCTGAGCCCCAGATACGATCATTGTGGTGATGGCAAAGAGGGCCCTCATTCTGAACCCCTAATTAACAGCCAACTTCCCAGGCGGGTGATGGAAATCCCAGCTCGCCGTAGCGCATCCAGTGAACCGCTGTGGGGGCGGTGAGGGTTGGCTGTGTCCTAAAAATCTACTTCTAACTAGGAAAAGCCGCTGGGTTAAAGTCAAAGCCCTATTCAAATTCACCAAACCAAAGAAAGAGGGTTCCAGAGAAGGACCAAAGTCCCCCCCAGACAGTGCCGCATGTCCGCAGGAGCCCCTCGAGGCCACCCCATCGTGCTCACACTGGGCAGAAGAGCAAGACCCCCCCAGCGGGCCCGCGAGAAAAGGTAGGAGGGGCTGACCCGGCTGCAGGTGAAGTGAAGGGGGGGGTGCCAGGCCTCCCTCCTGGGCAGGGTAGAACCAACGGGACGGCGTGCTGGGGGTGCACACGTGTGCATAGGGGCCTGAAGGGGGTGTGCTCCATGCAGGCACATCTGGCTCCTTAGGTATGTTAACAACCAAGTAGGAAACACAAACCCACCACAGTGTTGTGGCAGTTCGGTCCCAGAGCAAGGTAGTCACTTTAGCATGAGAAGCCTCATGCACGGTGTGCACTGNCGTGTGCCCTGTGGTAGGGACGTGAGTACCCAGAGCTGGTGCCCACAAGTTACCGCAGAGACAGGCTCCATAGTGTGTGTTTTTGGGTTTCCTCGTGTCTGCCAGGCCTAGAATAAGCATTTCTGAAGGGAGATCCCGGTGCATTTAACACGTAATGGACATACGCAAGGTCTTCAGCAAGGCCCTGTGTGGCTCTGATCTTGTCATCACCATGAAGAGCAGGTCCAGTTTTCTTCTCCCACCTGATCTGGCCTCGTGTCCTGCCACTGTGGGGTGTGGGCACCTCGTCTTTGAGGGTGGTTGTCCAGAGTCTGCCAGAGGTTCTGAAAAGGGTTTCTAGTCACATGTGCTGTGTGTATTTCACCATACCTAAGAGGGTTATAAGCTGCGCAGTTATGTGCATATGAGAAGAAAATAAGTTGGTTGTGGCAGTGACCCTTTTGTCAGAACTGCCACCTCGCTGACAGTGACTGTGGTACATACTCAAAGCTGTGTCCTGATTTCAGACAGGTTAAGGTTTCAGGGAGAAAATGTACATCTTACAATCAATTAAACAAAGCCGCTGCCTTAAACATGGTTCAATTTTCAAATTTACTTTTAAATATCACTTTATAGATTATTTACCTATAAGCCTGTTGTCAAACATGCACCCTCAAAAATTTAAACTTTGTGAAGGACACTAGGACTTTCTGAAGACCAGGCCCATGCCCAAGACTCATGTGCTCTCATGGTCTGATGTTAGGGCCAGTGACAAGCCACCTCCTGAGTGTGATGTGTGCACAGGCCTTGCCAGGTGACATTCACCACTTCAAGTCCTGGTGTGTCACTCGAAATGTAAAAGTGAACTGTGCACCCTATACACGTTGTTTGGGGACTGATGCTTGAGTTCTCAGTCTTTACAGGAGGTGAACTGGGTAAAAACCTCACCGCACATAGATGACAAGGAAGCTTACTAGCATTAGTTTTACCTAGAGCGGTTCTGTGGCCTCAGGTTTTCATGCTGGCTACTTAAACTTTTTGACATTTATCACCTTTACTTGTGTTGTTGTCTAAGGTGAGCTAGTGAACTATAAGCAGCCTAGTTGAGTTAGCAAAACTTTCAGAGAAAAAAATGCTTGACTGAACCAAACTGTTGTTTGGATCCATGAGTGAGCAGGTTAGTGGTAAATATTAGTAACGGCAGCCATGGAATGGATGTTTTCTCTGGGCTCAGCACCCCTTTAGCTCGTTTATGCGCTGTATCTATTATCCAGTCCTAACTGCCCTGTGAGGCAGGCACGCTTACTGTGCCCTTCTTGACAAGGTTAAGCACTTGCCCAGAGAATATGTGCTGGAGCCGGGGTCCGAACATGGGTCTGACAGATTACGGAGCCTGAACTCTTAACCACTGTGGGCAGTGCCTGCAGCTAAAGCTGCTTTGGTCCCTGAAGATGCTGAACAGACCTGGGCACCAGCATTGAAGTCTGTCCCTTATCCTGTGGTGTGAGCTGTGGCCACCAGGGGTGCTGTGGAGAAAGAAACAAGAGGTTCCACCATGGACTTTAATCCTAAATCAGAAATGGGATAAATCAGTTATGTGAATGTATAGGGCATGTTCAGAAAGCTAGTCCAACTGTCTGCTCTGATAAGACTCTAATTTAAAGGTCATAAAGTATAGGTTTGGGTTAGAGGATGCATAGGGATCTAAACAAGAATAATTCTTGATGCAGAGGGTGTTTTGGTCTCAAAAATAAGTATTTTCATTATTTTCAAACTCCTCCTGCCACAAGAGGCTGTCTTAGCTGTACAAGAATTCTTAGAGAAAGTTTCAGGTGGACGCTTTCATTGCAGCAGGCCAGAGACACACCACAGAGTGTTCCAAGGTCTGTACCAGGAGCAGGAGCCAGTTGTGTGTGAGCTGAATTGTCAGGGAGCCTGTCACTAACCGATGAGAAGGAAAAGCTGGGTCCTACATTTATATGCTTTCTTATTCAGTAATTCAGCACATTGGGACTGGAAATAGCCTAACGGGTCGGCTCCTTGGGGAACATGGAGTTCCCCTCGCTGCTCAGTGAAGCACAGGCTCCGGGACGCCGGTGAACTAACCAAACTGAGCCCGAGCAGCAGTGGCCCCGGGCCCTGGCTCTGGCTCTGTCTGGGTGGTGTTTCCATCTCTCCTGGGCTGGATGGGACTCGGATTTCCCTGCACATTTAGCTAATGTAGCAGCATTTGTTGTTATTTCATTTATTTGCTCTTTTGTATTTTTTTCCTCCCTCTCTCTGGTTATCCAGAGAATGACAATGTAGGAACGCAGAGCAAAAAGAGTCTCTTTCTGAGAGGCAAACGCAAGGACAAAGACAAGCCTCCAGAGGCCCGCCGGACTTTCTCTAAACGTTTCTGGTTCTGGTCGGCTTCTGTCCTGCCAGCCTCCTCTAAGTAGCCTCTCCCTTCCTCAGACACTAGAGATTTCCAACCCTTTCCCTTTACCAGTGTCTCCTCCAAGCCCCCTCCTTCATTTTGAAACGAGAAAAAAAGGTACTTACAGGTCAGATGACCCATCGTGGACCCCTCCTCCTGGCCCCAATTCCCAGCCAAGCTGAAAGCAGCCAGTGTGGACTCCGATTTCAAGGATGAGCTGTCACCCTCTGGACCGTGCTCCAGCGCAGCATGGTGCCAGGGGAGCCTCGGGACCTCACCCACAGGTCCTTGGGAAGGATGTCCGTTCTCAGTCAGTCCCCTGGCCAGGCGCTGACCCTCTCTCCCACCTGCAGGCTTGTATGTCCTGCCCGGCCGTGTGCAGTGCAGAACTGATCAGCTGTCACTGTGCTTCCTAAAATGTTCAGCGTCCATCCTGAGATTTTTTTAAGATTTATTTTTGGGCAGCTAAATTCAAAACTGCTGCTGTTTTCCCCGCTTTCCTTGTCAGAGCACAGAACCATTGGCTTTTCTGGATAAGTCCCTTTTTAGGTAGATGTGTTCTGTGGTTTGAGGATTTATTGCTCCACTCAAGCATTTTGAATAATTGGATCGATGTTGCCAAGCCAGCGTTCAGCCTGGAGTGATACTGTATGGCCCTGTTGAGGTCCCCTGACATCTTGGATGCAGGTGTTAGAGCTGCAATGGACAGATGGAGCATCAGCACGTGGTCACCGTCAGGGCTGGGACACGGTCCACAGGGGCCACTAGCTCCTGCAGTGTTTCCTGCTGTCACCATCCTTGTGCCATCTCGCGATTTCTGGCATGTCTGTATCACCTCTGTGATTACTCTCATATTTTCCCTCCAATCGATTCTTCGCTGCCACTTAAATTTATTTTATGACTTACACCATGTTGAAGTCAGTCGAGTGGCGCTGACTTGGCCTCACGCACCTGCTCTGACTCCTGGGCTGCTGCGTCCTGTCCTCCGTCCACCTGTCTGTCCGCCTGTCTCCCAGCAGCTGTGGGAAGTGCGCGGTTTCTCTGCCATCGCTGCCTCCTACCATCTCCGCCTCTCCTCTGCTCCTCGTGTCACCTTCACCCAGTGGACGCCTGTCTGACTCACTCCACCAGACTTGCCTTGCTTCCCACCAAGGTTATCTTTCAAAATCCAAACTTTCCCCTGATTTCAAGTTGTGAGACTTGGGTGCTTGAGACTTCCCAGTGAGTCCAGACACTGAGTGGCTGAGGGGCGGGGACAGGTCCCTGGGAGAGGGTGGGGAGGGGCAGGAATCTGACCTTGGCGTGGCTCTGGGTCCACAGCCCATGGGCTGCGTGGAACAGGGCACTGTGCAGACAGCGCTGTCCTGATGCTCCCAGGAACTCCACCTGCAGAAACTTATGACTTGTACTTGGAGAGCCCGTCCCCTTTCCTGATATTAGGTAGTGAAGATCTTTTTGTTTATCCCTCAATGTTTTTTTTTAAAATAGGGTTTTATTTAACTTTGAGGAGAGTATGTGTTCACAGTAGGAAATTCAGAGATGACAGAAAAGCACAACTACAAGGTAAATGTCATTTTTGCAGGCGGTGTCACCATGCAGAGATGGAGACATCGGTGTCACCATGCACAGATGGAGACGCCTCCGACAAGTTACTGGGTGGCAACAAACTCCTCTCTCAGATCGTAACGGATGCCTGTTGGCAGGGTGCACATTCTGGGCCTTGAGGGCCTTGACCATGGTCCTGAGCAGACACCTACCTGTCAAGGTCCTTTTAAACCAGGGATTCGAGTGACACACAGGTACACAGCAGGTGTGCCCAATGGTTAATGTGTTGGATTTTAACAATGTTTTGTTGAGCCTCTTGAGTTTGTTCTTTTATTTTCTCCCAGCTGCTTGGGGCTCACAGTGGGATCTATCCTTGGAGCCGAGGCCGGCCTCCCGGGGACCCCAGCACAGGCCTGCAGCCTGAGCCTCCTGTGCAGACCACAGCCCACGAGGCGCAGCCCAGCTGTTCTCCCTGCGGTCCGTGTGCCCTGCTGCCTCTGCTGTCAGGACTCGGGGTGACAGCCCCGCCTTGGCATGGGATCTTGCGACCCCATTTCTCACTGTCTTTCTCTGCCCCAGGCCCCAGGGACCTAATACCGAAGCCAGTGGCCCTGCACAGAGGCAGCCTTCACCGCACGGAGGCCTTGGCTACCCCCACCATGAAGCCCCGGCCATCAGAGCTGGGCTCCCAGGCCTGCTCCTCCTCAGCCATGACTACTACCCCTTCCAGCTCCACCCCCATCTCCTGGGACCAGGCCACACCCCAGGTGAGTCACAGGTCCCTCCAGAAGCAAGATGCATGAGCATCTGGGGCCCAAGGTCATTCCTGGAGACCCCAGCTCCCAGAGGCAGGAGGGGTCTCTCAGACTGAAGGGTGGTCAGCAGATGGGCTAAGCTGTGGACAGGTTTGGTGTCACACAGACACAGGTCCTGACCTCAGCTCTGCCTGCAGCTGTGTGACTTTGCACAGATAACATCACCATCTGGAGGCCCAGTCTTCAGCCCCTAGTGGGAAAGCCTAGAACCCACCTCTGCCATGCAGGAATTGGTGGCACCAAGGAGCTCCAGAACGGAGGTGAGCCAGAGTTTGGGCTAAACTCACGCAGCACTGGAGGTTTACTCTCCAGGGAAGAGACCTAGCAGCATCTCTGAACTGGAGGTCGGTTGATAGAGTGGAGGGCAGGTGTCCTAAACTGAAAAATGGGGGGACTCAGGGAAGGGTTTACAACTTGAACGTCTCCCAGGATGCCATAGCCATGCATGTTCACACCTCAGGATGTGATAGTCAAATGCTCCTCAAGTCACCTGAGTAGGTGGAGAAATTCCCAGCAGAACAGTCTAGTCCCATCTTGCCAGGTGAAGCCCATGAAGGTTCAGAGACCCCAGGCACCTGAGGAGGACCTGCAACACCAGAGAGAAACTAGTGTGAGAGGCAACAGAGTCATGGTCAGAGACAAAAGCTTTAAGATGCCTGGAGCAGGACACTGTGCAGAGCAGCGCTGTCCTGATGCTCCCAGAACTCCACCTGGATGTTATTAAATGGAACAGTCGGGGAAAAGCACTTANCTCCACCTGTGGTAACTTTTAACTTGGACTTGGAGAGCCCATCCCCTTTCCTACCACGAGGTAGTGAAGGTCTTTTTGTTTTTTCCCCAATTTTTTAAAAATTAGGATTTTATTTAACTTTGATGAGGGTATGTTCATGGTAGAAAATTCAGAAATGACAGAAAAGCACAGACTACTAGGTATTTTATTATTAGAGTGAGAAAAGTTGCATCCATGAAACAAGCAGGATGTTATTAAACAGAACAGTCAGGGGGAAAAGCACTTGGAAACTTAAAATATGCAAACAGAAAGGGAAAAATAAAGCTTAAAACTGAAAGAGACACTCTGCTTATAACTTAGAGATGAAAATATCTGAAGACAGCAGGAAGAGCTGAAAATGATTGCCCCTGGGGTGTTAGAAACTGATGAGAACATGAAGGGATATTCGTTTTCATAATGATATCACCCACTGGACTCTTGGAAGTATGGCCTGCAGAACCCTGGTTTGACAAGCCAAGCAAAGATAGGGCCCCTGCCCTCAAGGCAAGCCTAGGTTAGCTCCAGGACCTGGTCCCTGCTGTTTACAAATCAGAAGCACCCCTGGGAGAAGAAGAGTTGGGTGAGCACAGGCAACCAGACAGTCCTCCTGCGCTCCTGACCAGACACTGAGAATGGCAGTCCCTTACTGTTGGGTGTCAAGGAAACTGTGCCATGTATGGCTGGGCAGCCATGCTCAGGTGTCCACTGTCAGCAGTCAGTAGTCTGCCCCAGTCTCCCAGGCTCTGTGGTTCAGAAACCCTGCCTGGCTGGAGCAGGAGCTGAGTGCACCACCTCCCCTCAGACTTGCAGCGGCTTGTGGGACTCCAGGCCTGGCCCTCCAGGCTCACCCAGGGGCTGTCTCCACTGGGATCCCACCCTGAGCCAGAGCCCACACTTGTTCATATGCCTGCAGAGCCTGTCCGAGGGGCTGTCACACTGCAAACAAAGTGCTGCCCACTGTGATTCCCTGGCAGCATGGTTCTCATGCTCAGGTGGATGCAGAACTGTCTGCAAAATGGGGGAGACCCCGGTGTCATTTTGGAGGAAATCTGGGGCTGCTGTCAGCACAGGGCAGTGTAGTCCTTCCCAGGGAAAGAGCAGTGCCTGGTGGCCTATGGGTTCCGTCTGTTTCTGGTTAGGAGCTGCTGGTGCAGGGCTCCCTCTCTAGGGACCCAGCATCCTCCCTCAGGTGGTGGATTCTTTCCTTGTGCTTCCTCCAGCCACCTGAAGAGAACAAGGCCCCAGGAGAGCGTTGCTTTCACAGCCTCTGCTTTAGGTGTAGCCCCCCTCCCGGTTGGTGGGGCTCCCAGGGTACTAAGTATCAGCTCCTTCTGGTGCTTTATCCTCAGGCCAGACACTGCTTCCATTTGCTGTCCCAGTCATTGCACAGGCAGAGAGCCAGGCTGTCCCAGCAGGAGCAATGGGGGAGGGAGAGTACAGACAAGAGCACAGGCAGGTCCTAAGGGTCCACACGTCTCCCTCTTCCAGGCGCTGGACACAGCCACCACTCAGGTGCTGGGCAGGAGTCAGAGGTGGCCTCTGACAAAGGACCGCAGTTTCCCCATGGGTGGTCCAGGTCCCCTGACTCAGCCTTATTTTCACCATAGGCTAGAATTCAGATGGCAGCTCTGTGAGTGGTCCCTGGAGCTCAAGTTCACCAGCCACAGGCAGCACAGTGAGTAGTTGGTGCATGTGCCCTTCAGGCTGGGTTCTCAGACCTGTTTTCATCAACAGGACTTGTCCTTCAAGCTGTCCTGTGTGGAAGTCCACACATAAAATAGGTGCAAAATATGCTGAAGTGGGAATGGAGGACCCACAGTTCCTCAACACTCCTTCCCTGCCCTCCTAGGTGCCTAAGCGTGCAGCTTCTGCTTACATACCTCAAGTGATGGGGAAGTCACTACCTACCAAGTGCCCTACTTCTGGAGGCTCTGGCTGTCCTTGCTTGAAGGAAGGTCTCATGACCCATGCAGAGAGCACTGGTTGCAGGAAGGTCTCGCTGTCCTCACCTGGAGTTTAGTTGCCCAGAGCAGCTCCAAGTTGTAAATTTGATCTCAGAAATTGTTAGAAACACTTGCCATCTGATTTCGGCATGTTGTCAATTTCTGCAGAAGGGAAAAGGTGAATTACACCAGCCTTCTCAAAAATTAAAGGTTGCTTTGGGTTTTTGTAACTTCTGAAAAACAAATTTCTAGAAGGGTGGGAAGCTATCTTTTTAATTAAAACAAAAACTCAGAGTTCACACTGGACTCAGCTTCTGGAGTGATCAACAGTAAGCGTAGGAGCGAGCGTCCTCTCCTGCCCTCTCCATTGCCTGAAGCGGTGAATGGTGCTGGCTCTGATCACTCAGACATAGACACTTACAGCTTCCGGCAAGGGCAGGCTCTGGTGAAACTGCTGGACACCACGGAGCCCTCCCTCCTGGCCCTGGGTGGAGGGTAACAGGACGGAGGAGTCGCCTCCCCTCTCGTGAGCTTCCCGAGCAGCCAGGTTCATGCTTCATCAGCTGAGGAAAGGAGAAGGCAGCAGAGGGCTTTGCAGCAAGGGCTCGGACAAACAGGCATTTTCGGATCCCGTTGATTTGTATC